ATTTATTTTGGATATAATGAATATAAATTAACAATTACCTCATTTTTTTAATATTGATCAAATGGAAATAGCTATTTGTGCTATTAATATTAACAATCTGAACAACCATAAAAGGAACAAAAATAAGGAAATATCACTTACCATTAATTGATAATATAAGCCAAAAGGGTTACATTTACACAATTATCTTGTTAGGATTGCACAAAAGCTGACAAGAGACAAAGATATCCACCATTTTCCCAGAATTTCATCCTACACTCCAATAATCCAAAATCAAAAAATGCTACATATTCTTGCTAAATACAGATCCTACCAAAGTAGATACAAGAGCATGTAAGCCACTTTGTTTCCATGCATTTACTGCATTTACATATTACCTACTAAAAACACCTTCTGCAACCTTAAACCAAAGTTCTTTACTCCCATGCATCAAACCAAAAAAAAAAAATGCTACATATTCTTGCCAAATACAGATCCTACCAAAGTAGATACAAGAGCATGTGAGCCACTTTGTTTCCATGCATTTACTGCATTTACATATTACCTACAGAAAACACCTTCTGCAACCTTAAACCAAAGTTCTTTACTCCCATGCATCAAACCAAAAAAAAAAAAAGAAAAAAGAAAAAAAGAAGAACCATTCCTCAAGCTTCACTTGATCCCTTCTTCTTGGCTGATTTCCGAGGTGGCTGTGCCTTATGAAATTGGCTAGGATGGGTATGTCTCATAGCAGTCTCCCCTTGCAGACCTTGCTGCATCAATTAAATTCTAGTATTAGAAAATAAATGATCAACACAATTCACACTCTTAGTTGAATGTTAAGCTTAAACTCACAGGATTCAATTCTGGTGAATTAATGTATTCACCAAATCTGTGCTTCTTCTTTCTTCCTAGTCCATCAGATTGACCAGACTGCATGATAAAAAAACAGCAACAAGAATAGACACATAATTAGCAATATAGCACTATTAATAGGAAATTATAGATCATAAGCAATTACCACTCAATAAACTTACATTTTCATCAACAAAATATCTAGCAGTGCATGTTGTCCTGGTGTGACCAGGCTGCTTACAATATCCACAAGTTGGAGGTTTTCTTGGTATTGGCTGGTGAGTGCTTGCTGATGCTCCCTATTGTGGCATAGAAAAAAAATGTCATTATATTATCATTTGTTGATAATAAAGCAGGTGTAAGTAATTAACTTACTTCACTTTCAGTTGGCCTTTTGTGGCATCCCCTCTTGTTGTGTCCAGGTTGCTTGCAAAGTGAGCACGTGATTTGTCCACCTTCCTTTGTCATCTTTTCTAGCTGTCCCACCTTCACTTTTCTGGTTTCATTATCACCCTTCCTCCTATTCACCTTCGGCCTACCATGCTTGCATTTAAATGGCAGTGGTTCTAATGGCTCCCCATGAAAATTTTCCCAGAATTTCTCACCATTACAAGGCATGATTGGTACATTGTATGCACGTTCATACTTAACCCTTTTGTACCAAATTGATACAAATTCATCCAGATCAAAGTTACCTAAACCTATCGCAGACAATGCATGAGGACATGGAATTCCTGTTAAATCCCATGCTCTACAACTACAATTTTTCCCAATCAAATCCACAACAAATTTTTCTTTCCAATGCCAAACATCATACTGGGTCCTGCCATTCCATTCACATCTGCATTTGGCAGCTTCAATCTTATGTGCTTCTAATTTCTTCCTAATTCTGGGTGCTATATCTCCTCTCCATTTGCTGATTTCTTCTCTGTTCTTAGCCATCCTAACCATCACCTTAACCCGTATATATTCTAACAGTTGGATGATTGGCATATACCTGGCATCCATTATCCAATTGTTGAAGGTCTCATTCATGTTGTTATCCACGGCATCACATTTACATGATGTGTCAAAGAATGCCTTGCACCACAGCTCTGGTGGGATTGATTTTAAGGCATCATGTCCTTCCATGGATAAATTTCTGATCTCCTCCATGTTTTTGTTGAATTGACCTTCATATGTTGACCTTGCAGCAATCCAGAATCTTTTCTTTAATAGTTTCCCTCTGAAAATTTTTTGCCAATTGGCATATAAATGCCTGGCACACAATCTATGCCTAGCCTCGGGGAAAACTGTTTGTCTTGCATTAATCAACCCCTACCAAATTGTGTTTAATGAAAACAAATAAGGTTAATGATTGATAATAAAGGCAATTGAATTATACAATAAATAGCATTGATGAGTATAGTAACATAAAGATATTGATAATATAAATTAATTCATAATAGATTGTGC